TTTCTTAAGCTGCCTAGTTTGATCGAATTTTTATTTAATTTTAAAATAATATTTTCATTTAATTTCCAAAAATTCCGATTTTAAGACACAATATTACTTTTTTAGACAATATTATGATTTTTTAAACAATATTTCTAAATTTATTTTGAAAAAAATATCGATTTGTAGATTATTAAATAAAGGTGAAAATTGGAACGGAGTTTTTTTACTCCGCCTATTACGATCAGATTTTTATTTTATTTAAAAGAATAATTTACATTTGGCTTCAAGAAATTCCGGTTTTAAAACATTGTATTATTATTTTAGACAATACTTCTAAAAATATTTTGAAACAATTTATCGAGTTTTACATTATTAAATTAGGGTGAAGATTGAAATGGAGGTTTCTTATCCCGCCTATTCGGATCGAATTTTTTTTTTATTTTGAACAATGTTTTCATTTGAATTCCGAAAATATTGATTTTGAAAGCAATATTTCATTTTTTTTAAAACAATGTTTCAATTGTTTAAAGAATATTTCTCAAAATGTTATCAATGTTTAAACTATCTTTTGATTTTTTAAACAATATTTCCGAAAGAGTTGATTTTTTTGGAATTTACGTGATTTCGATTTTATATTACATTTTAATTAAAAATAATAATTAAAAAAAATATGTTTTAACAAGACGCAATGCGTGTTGTTGAAAGTCCATTTTTCATGTTGTGTTGTAAATTGAAGGCATGTGAGACGCACATGCCATTTTCCATCCAACTTAGCTGCAAAAGTTAACGGCGGACCAATTCTGTCAAAAAATGGCATGATTAAGGACTACTATTGTAACTCCAAAATGTTTAGGGACAATTTTGAAAAAGTGGGTAAAGTATGAGGACGAAAATTGTAATTTTCCCTTAAAAAATGAAGTCTATAATTAAACTAAATTAAATTATCAAGCCTAAATTAATTAATTGTACTTTGATTTAATTAATTGTACTTTGATTTGTAGTATATATATTATGTAATAACCAATATTGTCAGAATCGGATTGGACACAAAACCGAATAAGCATTCGGGGTCATGGTTGGACCGGTTCAACCGGATTTAACCCGGGTGTTTTAATTTTTTTATTATTTTATAAGTTTTAATATTTAAAATTATAATTTCTATACATTTTTTTTAATCTCACACTTTCTTCCCCTTTATTATTTTTTATAGACTCTTATCTTAATTATTCACCCCACCCATTTTTTTAAATATTTTTACGCCCTTTCTTCTCTCTCTCTCTCTCTCTCTCTCTTCTCTCTACATTTTCTTCTCTCGTCATTGCGGCCGCCTCCTCCTTCCCATCATCTTTATCTCTGTTTCTTTCTCAAGAAATTCAGCACCCATCCCTCTCTTTTACTCACAATTAATTGTTTCTTCTATTTTTTTTCTTCTTCCTTCTCTCTCTCTCTTCCTTTTCTAATTTTTTTTTCTTCTTTTCCACCTTTTTTCTTCATCCACCACACATCTGTTCGGCAATCCACGATCAAACCCGTCGGATTCCGGCAACCCACGGCCAGATCCGTCAAATTCCGGCCACCCCCGACGAACTCCGGCCAAATCCCGCCACCAACAGCTTCCCGCACAACGTTTTGTATGAAAACCCGGGTCATTGACCGGTTTTCGGGTTCATCGATTTCAGCCGGTCAGAGGGGTTTTTTGACATTTGACTCGACGCCGGCACTACCATAAATTAATACCGTGGACACTGCCAACAAGCACCAGAATACATCCACAAAACGCCCGGTGAAAAGGTTAGGGTTTCTGTACGATTTCTTTTTAAACTCCAACTTTGTTTCAAACATCAAACCATCGACGGCGGTAGTCTGGGAATCAATTATTGTGATTGGGCATAGCGCACCGGCTGACCACCAGCGATTTTGCGATTAGGGCCATAGCTCTCTACTAGCATCAGTGGTTTCTACCATCAATAGCAACAGCGGCATCAATGATTTTAGGTACTTATAGGGTAGGGTATCTAATTTCTTCTAGCGGCAATTTAAGTGTGCAGTTTATGATTTTGTACTATACTACATATACGTGTCTACAGGAATTCTGAGTTTTGGATACCAATGTATATTGAAATGTTATAATTAATTCCCCAGATCTGCAGTTAGGCCGTATTTAAACAATTATTGTTCGAGATTAACATCTTGTTATCTTCTGTAGTTGTTAGAGGTCGCACTACTTTTATTTTTGTAATAATGTTTTCAAGGTCTAATTAACTCTTAAGGAATTGTGCTTTAGCAGTCTAGGATTTTTTTTCCATCTAAGTAGTCAGATTTGCTTTTAAGCTTGGTTTTAGTCATCGCCAATGCATTTGAGTTGAGCTTTTATATTTAGAAGAATTTTCATTTCTCTCTTCGAATGATCTTGAGCTATCAATGCCCTATCATAAATTGCACCCATTTCTGTGTGGCCTATCTTATGTTTCTTGTGGAGATAAGTTTATGCTATATGGTAGTATATTCACATCTGAATGGAATAATATTGATGCAAGATGCATTTCTTGTTTTTCAAATGCCAATAGCATCAAGAATCATCACAAACTCTACATAGCTCATGCATAATTGTGGAAGACAAGAGTAATTTTTTTTTCCTATTGTGATAGATTACACATCAATAAGTATAAGGGAATAATTATAAATTCTTTTTCCATAATCATGAAATCTCCACATTGGAATTTACTGATTGTTAAATAAATTTCTTTGCTCACAGGGTCTCGTGTAAATTTTGTTCGAGTTCAAATTTGAGGGCTCAATGCAGCAGCGGTCTGATCGAAACCAGCTTTCTGCATCAACAAGCTCGAGCACGTAAATGAGAAGGATATTGATCTCCAACATAGTTACAGAAGGAATAGCTTTTTTAACTTGTATCGAATTGATAAATTAGGTGGCTTCCTTCAATTTTAATGCAAAACTCATTTGAGTTTTCTTTCGGTCTATGTATTATACATTTTGACTATTGTGGAATCATATGTGAATTTGGTGTTCTAAGAATTTTCTGTGAGAATTTATTTGGAATCTTCTACTTTTTGTTAGTTTTGTAGTCGATTTTGTGTTGATTATCAAGAATTTTGAAGTTGAATGAAGTTTTGAAATATTCGGATAACAGGTATAAAAAAACTAAAATAGCTTTGAATAGCGAATAGCGAACTTCCTGAATCAACGAGTGATGGAATTGTGACCGAAAGATAATTAAATATTTGTAACAGATTTGTGATGCGATACTTGTGATGGAATTTTGTGACGGAGGTTTGAATGAATTATTTGTGACCGATGTTAGGGATGGATTATCTGTGACGGACGTGTTTTGTGACGGACGTGTTTTATGACGACATCTGTCACGGACAAATGATGTAAATTCTCTGTAATTTGTGACATTTTAATGACCAATAAAAAGGTTTGTGACGAAATCCGTCACAATACTTGGAGACCCTAGATTACGTATTTGTGACGAAATTAGATTAATTGCGACAGACGTATCTGTCATAAACATTGTGACGGACAAGAAAAATCAGTCACAAATGTGTTTTGTGACGAGGGTTTTTCTGACAGAACAATTCGGTCACAAAGTTGTGACAAAAGGGCTTTTGTGACCTATTTTCTTCAATTTCGTGACTGAATCGTCCGTCATAAAAGCCCTTTTTTTTGGTAGTGAACTCCCAACGATGATTAAAAAAAAAAAAAAAAAAAAAAAAAAGAGAAAAGCTTTTAATAATAATAAAACGAAGAGTTTAGCCGGTCAATTAACCCCAATTTGTTATGTACATTTATTCCGGAGAAATATGAAGCGGAACACACTGTTCGAAACAAGGGCAGTGAGCATGCGGATGAGGCGAGCGGATAGATGGAGCGTAGACTGTCTCTCGCGAGAGATAGACTCGCGGTTGCTCGCCTTCAATTGCGAGCCTATCCCCGAGTGGGGGACTTGTTGATCCGGCCATGGCCAGCCAGATGGCCCAATAAGGAGCAAAGGCTCGTCAAGGTGCTCCAGCCCATTACCGCTTGATAGACCCAGTAAAGACCAAAGGCCCAAGTAAGGTCAAAAGGCACCATTAAGCCCACTAAGAGAAGAAGACCCATTAAATTGGTACTCGATAGGCGAAAGAGACCAGCGGGTCGCGGGTAGCCCGCGAGAGCGAGAAGCCTCTCGCTAACTCACCCTTCCGCCAAGCTTCTCGCCAGACCTGCCGGAGATGATCATTGCTGCACATGGGGTATTTAATGCACGTCCAATCCACTGACAAGAGCAGGGGAATGTCGTTTCGCCCCCCTACTTTTTGCACCTGCAGCCGCCAATGAAATGACAGATTAAACTGAATTGAAGGTAATTTGGGGTCCGGATGCATAATTACCGCGATGGGACAGGTAAATTAAATTGAAGAATATTTGACGTCCGTCCCTTTCTTTAGTATAAATAGGGGCAGTAAATACAGGAAAACCACAACGAAATCATATACATCAATTACATACAGAAGCATAATATCTTCTTCAGGAAGTTACTGACTTGGCCGTCGGAGTGCTAACTCCGGCCTAAGTCCGGTTCTTTTCTTTCTTGTAGGTTTATCGTAGGCTCCGGTCCAAGTTCAGGCCTACTCAACTTTCTAAACCAGCCCACCACGAGTCCAGCCAGATCGAATGGCGCCGTCTGTGGGAAATTGAGCGTTAAGACGTCGATTTTTCAACTACTTCTACTGTAAGCAAAACACCTGTGGGAGTGGATGTTAGTGAATTGAGGGAGATTTCTTGGGCTTTCCTTAAAATCCACTGCATCACCATATTTGTTTTACTTGTGCGATTTCAATACATATGAGGCAGACCTGGGTACATAAACCGACCTAAAACCTCAATCAGAGATGTTGGATCTGGAGGACTCCTTAGAGCTCGAAGTTGATTTGCTTTAATGAGCTCGATTCATGGGAGTTTGATTTCCTAAATTTATTCTTTGGCTTGAAGCTTTTCAAGCACGCAGTATTCTCTCGAAATGAATTCCGGAAGTTTAGATTTACTGCTTGGAGCTCAATTGTCTGATTCTGGCCCAGGTTTTGCCGACTCAATGTCCGCCGAGCTGAATTTCGCCGACTCAATGTCCGTCGATCTGAATTTCGCCGACTCAATGTCCGCCGGGCTGAGTCTCGCGACCCGAAGTTCCTGAGCCGAATCTCGCCGACTCAATGTTCGCCGAGCTAAAATTCACCGATCCAATGCTTTCTAAACTGAGATTATACATGAAAATATAATCGTAATTTGAATTTTCGCTTAATTATGATAAACTTTAAATTTGTACAGGGGCTGACTTGAATTTATTTCGCTAGAGGTATAGAGTAGAATAACTCGCAAATTATTCTATAAAGATAGGGACTTGGCGAGATGGATTTTCCTCAGAATAAGCTCAGCTTTAGTGGGATTTCTCGAAAAAGCTCACAGTGTTGGACATTCCGCTAACTTGCGAATGTATTGGAGTCCGACTAGAAGAAATCCTCCGACGAGCAGAATAACTCAAACGAGCTGGAGATATCCGACGAGCAGGATCTCCCTAACGAGCTGGAGATATCCGACGAGAAGGACCTCGCCCACGAGCTGGATCTCCCTGACGAGCCGGAGATATCCGGCGAGCAGGATATCTCCGACGAGCAACATACCTTCGACGAGCAGGATCTCGCCGACGAGCAAGAGATATCCGACGGGCAGGATCTCTTTGACGAACAGCATACCTCCGACGAGCAGGATCTCGCCGATGAGCAGGAGGTATCAGACGAGCAAAGGATATCCAACGAGCTGGATCTCTTTGACGAACATCATACCTCCGATGAGCAGGATCTCGCCGATGAGTATGAGGTATCAGACGAGCTGAGGATATCCGACGAGCTGAGGATATCCGACGAGCAGGATCTCGCCGATGAGCAGGAGGTATCAGAAGAGCTGAGGATATCCGACGAGCTGAGGATATCCGACGAGCATGATCTCTTTGACGAACAGCATACCTCCGACGAGCAGGATCTCGCCGATGAGCAGGAGGTATCAGACGAGCTGAGGATATCCGACGAGCACGATCTCGCCAATGAGCAAGAGATATCCGACGAGCAGGATCTCTTTGACGAGCAGTATCTCGCCGACGAGCAGGATCTCGCTGATGAGCAAGAGATATCCGACGAGCAGGATCTCTTTGACGAGCAGTATCTCGCCGACGAGCAAGATCTCGCCGACGAGCAGGAGGTATCAGACGAGCTGAAGACATCCGACGAGCAGTATCTCGCCGTCGAGCAAGATCTCGCCGACGAGCAGGATCTCCCTGACGAGCAAGAGATATTCGACAAACAGGATCTCTTTGACGAGCAACATACCTCCGACGAGCAGGATCCCGCCGATGAGCAAGAGATATCAGCGAGCAGGATCTCTCCGACGAGCAGCATATCTCGACGAACGGGATCTCGCCGACGAGCAGAAGATATCCGACGAGCAAGATCTCGCCGACGAGCAGGATCTCGCCGACGAGTAAGATCTCGCCAACGAGCAGGATCTCTCCGACGAGCAGAAGATATCCGACGAGCAGGATCTCGCCGACGAGCAGGATCTCCCGGACGAGCTGGAGATATCCGACGAGCAGGATCTCGCCGACGTGCAAGAGATATCCGCGAGAAGGATCTCTCCGACGAGCAGCATACCTTCGACGAACAGGATCTCTCCGACGAGTAGAAGATATCCACGAGCAGGATCTCTCCGACGAGCAGCATACCTTCGACGATCAGGATCTTTCCGACGAGCAGGATCTCCCTGACGAGCTGGAGATATCCGACGAGCAGGATCTCGCCGACGAGCAAGAGATATCCGCGAGCAAGATCTCTCCGACGAGCAGCATATCTCGACGAGCTGGATCTCGCCGACGAGCAGGAGATATCCGGCGAACGGGATCTCTCCGACGAGCAGAGATATCCGCGAGCAGGATCTCTCCGACGAGCAGCATACCTTCGACGAGCAGGATCTCGCCGACGAGCAGGAGATATCCGACGAACAGGATCTCTCCGACGAGCAAAAGATATCCGACGAGAAGGATCTCGCCGACGAGCAGGATCTCGCCGACGAGTAAGATCTCGCCAACGAGCAGGATCTCCCTGACGAGCTGGAGATATCCGACGAGCAGCATATCGCCGACGAGCAAGAGATATCCGCGAGCAGGATCTCTCCGACGAGCAGCATACCTTCGACGAACAGGATCTCGCCGACGAGCAGGAGATATCCGACAAACAGGGATTGGAGTACGCGATCAAGTTGCCTTTCAGAGCTTCAAAAAATGAAGCAGGATATGAAGCCGTTATACATGGGATGAAGCTGGTATCTTCGGCCGGGGGCAGAAGTATAAGCATATTTTCGGATTCACAGCTAGTAGTACAACAAGTAAAAGGTGAATTCGAGATAAAAATTGAGCGGATGATGGCTTGTTGCGAGACAGTGCGATCGATCATGAGCGAGCTCGAATTCTGCGAGCTAGCTCAAATACCCCGAGAGGAGAACCAGCATGCCGATTTGCTGGCGAAAGTAGGAAGCATGGCGGTAGGATACGAGTCAAGAAAAATACAGTTGCTAATGGGGGAGCCGTGCCGTCTGGGCGAGGAGCGGGTTTCAACAGTGACAAGCAGGGAAGATTGGCGCGCGAAGATAAGGGCGTGTCTGCAAGGAAAAATGTTAGCAAGTGGCCGCGCGCAGAAGATCGTGGAACAACGAGCAAGCAATTTTTGCTTAATCGGGGACATACTTCATAAAAGAGGGTACACTAGGTCGCATCTAAGATGCCTATCTCAAGAGAAAGGCCGCTACGTGTTACGCGAGATACACCAAGGATGCTGCGGGGATCATGCAGGAGGTAGAGCGTTGGTCTCGCGAGTGTAGAGAGCAGGATACTTTTGGCCCACCTTGAGAAAATACGCGGGCCAATTTGTCAGGACATGTGATAAATGCCAGAGGCATGGCCCGCTGATTCACACGCCAGGAGAGGATATGACGATAATAACTTCCCCTTGTCCTTTTGCACAATGGGGGATAGATATCGTGGGCCCCATGCATGCCGCTGGCCAAGGGGCAGCGAAA